CAAAACCCTGCGAGGGAGGGGGGGTCAAGAGCCTGGAGAAGCATTCCCCAAATCCAGCCCCAACAGCTCCTGCTCATCCCCTTTGTTTCCTCTTTTGGCAAAGCAGAACTGGGCTGGACCCAGTAATTAGCAATTAACTTTGTGCTCTGTTAACCTCATGCATCGGTGGCAGAACGAGGGTGATTCTGTTGGATGGATTTCCCAGCTGGGGGGCTGTGGTCTGGGGGCTGTGGTCCAAGGGCTGGGAAATGCCCAGGCAGCCAGGAAAAAACAAAATTGCATGTATTTTGTCCTTCTGGACTTGCATCAGGTTTTGTTTGAAGCAAAAAGCTGTAGGATAAAGTGGCCAGAGCCCTGGGGAAGGCGTAGGGCTGGTTGGGTCTTGCTGGAGTAAGCATCTCTGTTTTCTTCCAGGTTTGCTCTAAACCGTGAGCTGATTTTTCACAAACCGAGACCGGGTTTGAACCAGGCTGGAGAATATGCAATAAACAAAAATTAATTAATTTATAGAGTAATGTAAATATAAATAATATAAACTTTATAGTAGATGCAGTTACATTTGAGGTCTCCCTGCTGTGGTAGCCAGCATCTCCTTGGGTCTGTGTATTTGCAGTAAAATGGGCTTGGGAGTGTAAGATAAAACTAGAAGATAGTTGGGATCGTAACAAGCCAAACTCGGTACCAACTTACTCAGCCTGTAGTTGAGTTTGGAGACTCTTCATCATGGTTTGAGTTGAAAAAGTGGGTGGGCAAATCTATAGAAAGGAGTAGCCACCAGGAGCTCTCATGGAGACACCATCTCCTGCTTGGAGAAGCGCTTAGCCCACGAATGGCCAGGGCTGATGAGGAAGAGCTGCTTCCTCCATGGATGGCTGTGTTTTGGTCTTGGTGTCTAAACCCTCCCTAGACCCAGCATTGCCTGTCCTGGGTCATGTGAGCCTTGACATGAGCAGCTCTTCCCCAGGGCTGCCTTGTGTTGAGGGATGGTGGTGTTGGGCACTCTTCTGAAACCTGGGCAGTGAGATGAAGGACACAGAGAGGACATTTGGGCTTTCCCATCCCAGGGTGCTGAGCACCTTCGTGTCCTTCCAATCCTGGCAAAGGGCTTGTCTCCCGCTCTGCAGCGCCTGCACACCATCCCTGCATCTCGCTGCCACCTCAAAGAGACCTCATGGCCCAGCCAACGGTGTTTCACCTTCCAAGGTCTGGTCTGCCCTGAAGGTGAACCCCCAGACACCATGTGCACCATGAAGCTGCTCATCCAAGCGGATCCTCCCTATGCCTATGGGGACCATAGCGAGAGCATCCCCCGCCCACACCGCCTTGCATCTCAGCATCACCCGTGTGGTGCTGCCACCCAGCCCACCCCACTTTGTATGCCGGGGTTTCTCCTCCTGCATTCCCTACGGAGGTGTAACAGACTTGGGAATAGGGCTGGTGTCAGCTGGGTGTCTTCTTTTGGCAGGGAATCTGGGAAACGGCTGCCTCAGTGCTAAATTTATCCCCTCACATCCCGGGAGGGTGCGTGGCCACCCTCTGCAGCAGCAAACCTGCCACCGGCTTTTATTACTGCCTGGTTGCTGCGGGAGAAATTATGGGGAAGCATTGCCCAAGGGAGGGGTTTTTTTAATGCCTGTGACTGCTCCCTCCTAACATTAGCACAGCAGCTGCAGGTTTTTTTTGTCGGAGTTTGAGCTTTTATTGCGGTACAGTAAAACAAAGGCAGAAAATGGGATCAACCAGTTCAAACAGAGCTGTTAGGAGCAGCTGTGAAAAGCAAACAAAGCCAAGCCTATGTCTTCTTCTGGACCCATCCTCTTCTGTCCCTTTTCCTTCCTTTTAGGAAAGACCTTCAGACACCCTGAGCTGCTTAGAGCGTCCTCCCAGATGCACTGGGATCCACGAGGATGTTGGTGCTTGAGCCGCATCCTAAAGGGTTGCGAGTACACAGGAGCTTTTTGGGATTTATTTTTTTTTTTGGCGTTGCAAGTCTCTTGCTGCAGTACTCAAAAAAAAAACAAACACCAAACAACAAACCAACAACAACAAAAAAAAACCAAAAAACCAAACCAACAACAAAAAAAAACAACACACAACCAACCAAATCAGCCGAGTACCCCAGTACAACTGACCGGTCACAGGAGGCTGCTGATGTGTCAAAGCCGCCGCGGTGCCTTTGGTTTTCACGCTGGACCATGCCTCTAACAGTCTGCCATGTGTCTGTCTGCAGGTGCAAATGCAGCCTCAGTGGCAAGCGCAGGACCCCTGCAACGATGGTGGAAAGGTGAGAAATTCAGTGGCTCTGGAAGGGCTAAAGGGCTGCAGAGGGGTTTTTGGGTTGTTTTGGGTTTTTTGATTTATTTTTTTTTTTTTCCCCCTAGCCAGAGCTCGGTTTCAGTCTGGCACCACTGTTCTTAAAAGTAGGAATGGCCGAAGTGGTTTCAAGCAAATGAGTCATGGGCTATGAATAGTGTATTTTTACACCTATTCCACAGGCTTCACCTTGCAGCAACCTTTTGCTTTCCTCAGCCTTTCAAAACCCTCATTCCCACTTGCTTTCTTCCCATGGTTTAAATATTAACACGCATCCGAGCATCCTGTTTGCTTTGCCTCAAGCTTGCAACTGTTCAGCTATTTGGAAAGCTTTGGGCTCCTGGGATGCCTACAGTCAAATAACCTCGGGTGATTTTTTTATTTTTTTTTTTTTCCTAGCATACTTTAGCAGCTGTTTAATTAAACTCCAAATGACTTGCTTCTGGGAAGGGTTTTTCCCCTCTGCTGGGAAGGCAGAGCGAGGGCAGCCAGCTGCTCCCTGCCCACCCTGTAATTGTTCCTCAGCCCCTTTTTGGAAATTACAAGGTGGGTTTGTGGCTGGATATTAAATAGGCAAGTTGCCTGAGGAAAAACTAACCCCTAAAGCCTGTTTGTTATTTTTAAAGGGGAAATCAGAGCGTGTTGCAATTTGGAAAGTGGCCAGCCGCTGTTCTGGTCCTTCCCTTGGTTTTCCACCGTTAATGGCAGTCGGCTGATTCTTGCAGTGAGCTGTACTGGAAAGGGGGTTTCAGAGGGGAAGGCAGATTCTTTTAATTAAAAATTAAAGCTGACTTTTATTTTTAACATGCCTATTTCATAACGTGCTGAGCTAGAACAAATCGTCCCCTGTTTATTTTCAATGGGGGGAGAAAAAAACCCCACACTTTTCTTCTAACAGGAACAGGCTTCAGTGTTAATTTAACATGAACTAATGGGCGTCTCAGCAGACATGTGATTTGTGGGTGGCAAATTCCTCGACACGGATGAGGAATGTGCAGGCACATCCATGCCGGTGCGGAGGTGGCTCAGCAGCTCCCTTTCGCACAGTTTTTAATCTGAATTTTGCTTTTTAATCCCTGGGTAGTAGGCAAAAGCATGTTAGGAGGAATGACCTGGTCTTCCCTCTGCAGAAGGAGAAAACTGGGTTGCGAAATGCTGTTGGGAGAGTGGGTTGCACATGGACAGGGCTTGCAATTCTGTTCTGTGGCAGGTCGAGCAGGGATGTGGGGTTTGGGAAGAAGTTAAATATTAGATGGTCCTCAGAGCAACCTGCTTTGGGGGGATCTGGTGACTTGCAGAGGTACCCAAGCTGCCAGCCAGGGATGTGGGGATGTTGCCCCTTGTCCTTGCAGGGAATGAGGACGAGAAATGCTGCTCTTGAGATTTGCACCCCGAGGGGATGCGGAGAGCTGGAGGAGGGTAGATAATGTTGGCTGCAGCTGTGCAGTTAGGAAGGAGATGCAAGAAGGAAGATGCACAGTACAGGCAAATTGGGAAGTGGGTTCACTCCAGCACCCAAATGGAGCTGCTTCCCAGCGCAGCATGTCCCAGCAGTGCTCGCTGCTGCTCCCTGTGTCTTCGGGACCATGGAGCCAAACACTTGTCCTTGACTCACATCAGGGTAGCAAAAAGCAAAGGCACTTGGGTGACATCATGGTCAACGTCAGCCCCTGCTTGTCCTTCCTAGCCCTGACCTTGGAGTCTGGTGGGATGGATTTCTCCATCACGCTTTAATGGGGTGCTCATGGGAGCACGGGTGAGATGTGGCAAACAGATGATTAACTGGAAATGTTACCAGTGTAGCTGATCACAGAGTCCTGCCATGGGGATCCCCAAGGGGTCTCACAGCTCTCGCCCTGCAGCTTCGGCACTGGTTGGAGGCGTGGAGCTGGGCTATGCCTTGCTTTTAGAAAACGGTAGCTGTGGAGCAGGTTTTTTAGAGGGAGCTTACCTGCTTGGGCATCATCACCTGTTGCCCCCAAGAGCTGTGCTTTGGGCTTTAATAAACTGAGGGTGAGAAGGAAAACCAAATTAAAATGCTCTGCTGTGGTTGCGTGTGCCATCCTGGTGCTGCAGTTGCTCCTACCAAGAGTGCGGGTTGTGTTACCCCTCCTGCCTCTTGAGTGCTGATGTGCCAAATGCCAGCGTTGATGTCCACCCTGGGTCACCTCCAGTGCTCATTCTGGGTCAGGAGGTCCCCTCGGAGGAGGAGGCCATCCGAATGTGGGGACGGCTTGCCAAGGATGGGCTGGGATGTGTTGAAAGCCGGGATGCAGATGGTTTTGAGCACAAGCTCATTGCATAGCATCTCCCCAAGTTCATTTTCCCTCTCTTTCTTCCCCCCAAAGCTGGAAGCTGACAGACTGGCGCTGCCGGTGAGCCCCAGCCCGCTCAGCCCCGCACCCAGCCCCAGCCCCAAGCCCCCCGAGGCGGCTGTCCTCACCGTGGAGCCCTCTCCTTCAGAGAAGAAATGCTTCTTTGTCGACGAAGCAGAGCCCCTCCTGCGGTGCGACTCGACCTCCAGCGGCTCCTCTGCGCTCAGCCGGACAGGCTCTTTTATTACCAAAGGTACCAAAATCAGCCCGGGGGGGAGGCGGGAGGACCGAAGGGATGCCACGGCGTGTCCCCTGGGGTCAGCAGACGCGGTAGAGCTTCCCAAAATGGTATCATTAAAGTAAATAACTGGGAAAACTGAGTCTCTAGGATATGTTTGTCACACTCTCATTCCAGACCAGAAGATCCTGTTAGCAAAGATGATACAGATTTGAGAGAGGAAAACACCTTTAAAGGCTTTTAACTCTTTGAAGTGCTGCCAGAGAAGTTGTAGTGTCCCTGTATGTTTGAGGGGGGGTTCTCCTGACTTTTGGCTGTTGCCTTGGCGTTATTGCATGAGGTTAAACCAGAAAAATGTCATTTCAGGACTGAATTTTTTTTTTTCCACCCTTGATCCTGCTTGCTGCAGCGTGTGACTTCAGGTGTAAATCACCGTTAGTTACCCCCTCCTTTTTTTGACGGGGTTTAATTTACTGCATTTAACCTGCTGCGTTTAATTTTCTTTACCTTCTGACGAAGGTGAAACGCTGAGCTCAGTCAATCTACTGAATTTATACTTGGGTGCCAAAGTGAAGCCAACCCAACAAAAACAACTCAAAAGAGCAGAATTCAGCTTTTTTGGCTCCCCTCCCGCCTTCACTTTTCCTCTATTGGCCATTCAGCGTTTACAAATGCTGTGTTTGCTCCAGTGGGATGCTGGATAAGGTACCTCAGCAGCACTGGCTTCTCCATCTTCTCCCCTCCCCATCACTCATCACCCTCCACCTTTCCCCTTGGCTCTCTTTGTGGCTTATCCCTCTCCAGAGCTGGCACCAAGGGATGGACCGAGGTCTCCGAGGAGAACAAGCCCTGGTTAGCAGAGGTTTCTTGAGTGGTTTCTTCATCATCCTCTTTCCTCCTACAGAAAAGAAGGATACCGTCCTGCGCCAGGTGCGCTTGGACCCTTGCGACCTGCAGCCCATCTTTGACGACATGCTGCACATCCTCAACCCCGAGGAGCTCCACGTGATAGAGGAGATCCCGCAGGCCGAAGACAAGCTGGACAGGCTATTTGAGATCGCCGGAGTCAAGAGCCAGGAAGCCAGCCAGACCCTCCTGGACTCTGTCTATAGCCATCTTCCTGACTTACTGTAGGCACTGGGTCACCACGCACTCTCTGAATATCTGCTAAAGCTAGCTTGGCACTCGTTAAGACGACCGACAATATGCAGGCAGGTTTTGTTGTAGAATATATGGCCAGTATTTTCGTTGAGGTGTCCTTGGTTTTTGGAGGGGGGGCACTTTGCCAGTGTTGCACCCCTCCACTGTAACTCTATCGCTCAGTCCAAGTCTTTGCATCCTCCGCCCCCTTCTTGAGCCTCTCTTCTCCTTGTTCTCATTCCAATCACAACAGTCAATGCACTTTAAAAAAAAAAAAGAAAAAAAAAAGCAGTTAATGAACTAAAAGACCACAGATCTGCTGTAATTTAACACATCAAATTGGGGATTGCTCTGTAACCCACTTCTTCTGTCAAAGCTGTTGCTCGGAGTGACCGTCTCCCACCACCTCCCTTCGCCTTGGAGCGGTAAATGGCAAAAACATGCGAAAAAACAAACCCCAATCGTTGCTGGTTACCATCTCTTAACGCAGCTAAGCTTCCCACCTGAGCTAACTTTTTTTTTTAAAAATGTACTATTGTATAGCTCATATCCATTGCTGAGATTTTACTAGCACGGTTATTTATTGTATGGTTTTCACCTGGACAATGCATCGCGCTCCTATAAGCTAAAGCAGAGGTGCTTTAACCACAAAGAAAAGGGTCAGTCCCACCAATCTTCGAGGCGATGAAAAAGTCCTTTGCCTTCAGTCGAATGTAAGGAGTTATCTTCCCTTGTGGGAATGGCAGGGCCCCGAAGGGAGCCGGTGCTGGACGTGGGGAGGCGAAGGCGACCGCCGGTGGTCCTGCTCTCCTCGTGGTTGTAAGACTTAAACCAAGCTATGCTTTTACACTCGTGTCTCTTGTTTTTTATACAGACGTGGCCGATTAGGTTCTCTGAAGACCTTACCCGGTCTTAATAGTCTCTTCAAATCACACTTCACTTTTTATTAAAAGAAAAGAGGTTGGGGGGTGGGGAAAAAAAAAAAAAAGCTGCATCGTAAGAAGTCTGTCTGATTATATTTGCAACTATTATGCTCCCGTAATGAACAGTCTGTACTATGCTCAATTTGAAGAAATAATGATATGAGGGTGGCGTGTGCTGCCCTGTGGGAAGGGGTGGGAGTTGGGGAAGAGGGGAATGAATTGAAAAATTGCCTTCCAGTGTACTAATTTATTAATAAATACTAGGTGTTTGTTACTTGACATGATTCTGCGTTAACCTCCTTAACACCTGCCTCTGCTCGGGGACACCTGGGTTGGAGCAGGGGCTGCTCAGGGTGCCCACGGTGGGGTGAAGAGGGAGATTTGGGGGTGGTGAGAGGGTTGTCCCCTTGAGCTTTGAGGCCAAAATGTGATTGCTTTCTGTTGACAACACTGCCTTGACTCCCCACGGTCACTGCTGGAGCTCTCTGCAGCCGGCGGGATGCTTCCCCGCGGGGCAGGTCCCCATGCTGAGCTGGGGTGGGGGACACGCGTTAACCCCTGTAACCGTGAGCAGATCAGATGGCTGATGGGGCTCCCAGGGTTGGTTTTTGCAAGTTCTCAAAGGCTTTGCAGGCATTTTGGGGGGGCTGAAGTATTAATTTTCCAGGATGCAGCTGCTGTGCTGAGTCACTGCTGTGCGAAGATCTTGCAGTCACAGCGTTTCTGTTGCCCTGTTACATTACCGATGTCCTTAAAATCTCTGCTTCCAAATAACTCATCCCTTGTTACTCTGTCTACAAATGGCAGCCTTAATGGGACAAATGGTTCTGGTTTATAATGCTGTCATTTTGTATACTTGGCCCCAGAGTGTGTTCCAGTAACTAGGGTACTGTGTTTTCCTTCTGGCTGGCGTTGAAAATTGCCGTTACAGGACTATACATAGGTACGGGATTAAAACTTCTCAATATATGGACAGATGAAATACAGCGTGAAATAGCAAGAGCCTTTAATGGGAGCGCTGGGGTGGGGTTTTCCCTCGCTGGCAATGAAGTGTTGAGCTCTCAGTGGCTGCAGTATGTCTTCAAAGCATCACAAAGAAATAGCGAGTGTGGCTCATGTGCCTGGCATACACCGGGTTGCTAAAAGCAGTATTTTGAGGTGGAGCCCAGTTCCACCCTGTTGGCAGGTGGTTTTTTTAATCTCCATGTTGGGAGCAGTCGTGGTTGCTGTCGATCCGCCTGGGCAAGAATTGGTAAGGGGAGGGAAGGTGTGTGATTGTGGGCTCCATCAATAGCTTAAGGCAAGCACAAACCGCCGGCTTTAAATTATCCTTAGCAGGCTTTTGGAGTGAGTCCGGCTGGGAAACGGGATTTGTCCTTTTCTGGTGGTCCAGGTTCTCTGCGGTAAACCTGCGGGTTGTAAGCACCAGAGTCATCGTCCCACACTCCCAGGGCACCGCCGGCCCCATCCCACAGGTCCGCTTCCCATCCTGGCAGCTGCTCCTGTTTCCTCATGGGATTTGAAGGTAAAGCAAATAAAAAAAAAAACCAAGCCATGGTCCTGGGAAGAGGATTTAGCAGCTAGCTGAGGAAATACCACGAAGCAGGCATGTTGTGGAGG